GGCCAAAAAATAGGATAAATATGTAATAACCAAGTGACCCTATAAAGAAGTGGCCAAGAAATAGAATACATATGTAATAACCAAATGACCCTATAAACAAGTGCCAAGAAATAGGATAAATATGTAATAACCAAATGACCCTATAAAGAAGTGGCCAAGAAATAGGATAAATATGTAATAACCAAATGATCCTATAAACAAGTGGCCAAGAAATAGAATACATATGTAGTAACCAAATGACCCTATAAACAAGTAAAGAAAAAAAAACCTGTAAAGAATTGAATTGAAAAGGATGAAAACAATTTTAGTACCTGTTCTTTTGTAACATTTCGTCTCTTTCGCTGTTGGCATAATTTGTTTAGTTTATAGCCTAGCCAACAGAATAATAATAGTGCCAAAAAGAGGATGATACCAAGCAAAAGAAACCACCACAATAAACAATAGCCAAAAAATAGGATACATCTGTAACTAATTAGCAATTAGCGAAAGCTAATTAATTAATAAATAGATTATCAGTTCTTAAACGAATCATAAAATGATCAATTTTAAAAGTAATATTGAAGAAGAAAAAAAAAAAAAAAGCAAGAAATTGAAATTTTACCCATCAGCAAGTAGGATTAATTGTTCACATCGTCTTCCTTCTGCTTGTCCTAATTCCTTTGATGTATCATTCCAACCATCATGACAACGACATTCATAACGAGGACCATTAACCAAACAATCAGCATGTTCTGGATCACAATCATTTAGCGTTGTTGTTAAACAAGCGCCAAGTGAAAGCTCTACAAATAACATATAGCATTGCATATCATGATCAAGCAATACATTTATCATTTCCATTATCACACTGATACCAATCATTTAGGTATTATCATCTAGAAAGGACAAATTTTATTATGAAAAAAAAAAAACTAATTAACGAAGAATTATATTGAATAATTGTATGATTACAATAAATCTACAATGAAATCTCTAAAATTTGGAAATAAAATTTAAGATAATATTAATAAGAGGATTAAAGTTTAGAATAGATTATTATGGAAGGTTAATTATATTAATATTTAATGAGTTTTTTTTTTTTTTTTTTACTTCATTACCCATTATACGTAGTGGTATATAATGATCATTGGAATTTCGTTTGAAAGCTTCATTAAATTCCGCTACAGTACACTGGGAACAATCAAGTTGTACCATAACTGGATGACCATCACGTCGGACACAAGCTTGATAAGGTAACCGGGTACGATTCAACTGAAATATTTTTAATAAACATTTTCTCTCTTTCTTTCTCTTTTCCCACTTTCTGTTCCTTATATGTTTATATTTAAAAAAAAAAGAAGCTTTAGTTGTAAAAAATAATCAGTTATGTTAATTTTGATAAGCTTCAAAAGTATTTTAGAGAATGAGGAAAGAAAAAAACGAACCACTAAAAGAGCAAGTCGAGATCGTTCTTCTGGATCAGTTTCTATACCACCACACATATCATGTACATCTATGCCAAATGTTGATATTATTGTTGCTGAGAAATAAACAAAATTATTGATAAGAAAATTAAAAAAAAAAAACAAAATTAATCAATGTCCAATGACTTCTTACAGTAAATGTTAGTAGTTAGTATATGGGATAGTTTTATTTGTAAATCGGATATAGCTTGTATCAATTATTGATTGTCTCGTTTGTAATAATGTAATATCAAAGCATAATATTTTCATGCAAATCCTTTTCATGCAAATAATATTTTCATGC